GCCATCATTTCACAATGAGGTCACTGACCGTTTGGTGAATTTGCTTTAGATTAACTTATACATTCGTGATTTACAATTAACTTTTCCCTTGCAACACTGCGTTAATATCACTTGCAATGATAACAGCTCTAACGGAATTTCGGTAACACTAAAAGTGCGTTACGTATTTTATTTCCAAGTATGCACACAATTTCACATACGAGTATAGTTAGGGCTTACAACAATTCAGACCCACAGACGGTTTATAATTTTTCCCTACTTCCCACGTCCGATTTTATATTTTCCAGTATTCTTTAATTGCAGCGATCTCTCTTAAAATTGCACGTTGAGCTTGGTTGGCTGTAAAAATTGAACGAAGGACTAGCACGCTATTGTGAGCAAAGTTATGCTGTAACTCTCTATTTTCTGTTTCTACTTTTTTTTTTATTTGTACTCTATTCATATTAAGAGGGAAGCTTTGACCACTGTGATTGGTTAAAACACGAGTCAGTATTAGGTACACTGAAAAATAAAACGAATAAGGAATCTTGTAATGTCGAACTGCCATTAGCTGTTAAAGTCAAAGATTCATGCATGAAATCGTTTGATTTATTTCTGTTCACCGTTTTATATTTTTCCTGTGTGTGCTTATCTTCAAACACAGCACCATCTACCACCTCCTTATAATGAATGTGGTATAGGGAGTGTTTTGGACCCGTTACTTTTTTCGGCATTCACCTTCGACTTACCTACACGTCTTCAGCATCTTCGATACCATCTGTATGAGGAAGACTTACAACTTTACATAGAGTGTAATACATCAAATTTTGAAGAAACCATCGACGTTGTAAACTATGATCTTTTTGGTGTACAGACGTGGTGCCAAAATAATCCACTGCTATTTGTGTGGGTCCTCGACTTCACTCGGAGTTGGTGTGTACTTTTCAATTATGTCTAATGGACGAAAACATAACCATGGTCTACCACGGTTAAAAACAGTCATTAAAGTAGATAATAGGTTGTTTTACTGATCATGTTAATCACATAATTAAAATCGCATATTTAAAACTTAAGTCAATCTATCACCTTAAATTTCTGCTGAATGAGTACTGCAGCAAGCGTAAGCTAGTCAAGTATCTCATTTTACCCCATTTTGATTATTGTTGTATGGTGTATTATTTTTTCTCACAAAATGTGACCAAGCAAGGTTGCAAAAAACTCAAAATGCGTGCATGAGATACATTTTCATATTCCCCTTAGAGAGCACGTCACGCCGTATTATCACAGACTTAATGAGTTAAAAATCAAGGATCGTGTCAAATATCTATATATAATAATTCTTTATAAAATTTTACAATTTAGAATACCATCATATTTATATCACCTATTGATAAGGAGATTGGTTGTACATTGTGTAAATTTAAGAACGAATTTTTTTACAATACGTATGTACATAGATATAAAAGTTGATGAATTGAAAAACGGCTTTAGGCCGAATTCGTTACCTTTTGAGCTGTACAACATTATTATTTTATTGATATATTGTGTTGATTATTATTTTATTGTTTTGTTTCGTTTGGAAGTTCACTTTTCGCGTTTATTAATTGTGTTAATTATGTTTTTTTAAATGTTTTTTGCTGTTGTACTTCATGCTCAATAAACATTATTATTATTATTATAGTTGCCCGAGTAAGAAAATCGAAACAGAACCAAAGCATTTATCGCGACAAAGTTCCATGTGATCCAATAATCTGCCCGTCATTCCTTAATGTGTAACATTGTTTTAAAAAATCAATTACACCAACCTTTAAAGTTTGGTCCAAATCAGTTCGTAATTCCGAAAGAGTTTCTTGGAAGTGATACATATACAGGGCACCCATTATGTATGGGAATGTATATATCTCGGTAAATATCGAATGTATACAACATTTTTCTATATGAAAATTGTTTAACATTTTATTTCCCATAATAAGGCGAAAAACAATTGAATTTTTTTAAATGGCAGTGCACCTTTTCATTGGGCGCAGATTTTTTTCCAGATTAACCAATACGTGAATCGTTCGTTACTTACAATGCCCTAAGATGCTATTATAAAATCGATTGATTCTAAAATCCTTTTTAAATTTGTTTCGATATCGGCACGCCAAAATATTGTGTTCATTTGATGCAACGAAATAAATTTGTTTTAGTTTCAGATTATTTCAACTCTCAAGAAATGATTCAATTTTGTTTATCTGTCTGTCTGTTTGTCTGGTACAAGGTCAACTTACATTCTTGTTTATTGAGCGACCAAAGTGAAGTAGTGGTAGTGAACAATATCTATAGGCTATTAATCTGAAATATCTAGTAAAGATCCAAGAAAAGACATGATCTTGTCATTCCATCTGTCCATGTCATCAGGTAATTTTTACCGAAAACCCCGAAGTGAAGATACCTTATAGCAAGGGCTACTAGATGACAAATTATTTCCGTTCGGTCGCCCCCCTCTCCACGTTATCGATTATTTTTCGTGAGGAGTGTCTCCATAGGTCTATCCTTTCATCTACCAAGTATCTATTGGCGATGAATTTATTATATTTGGCTTTGGCATATCAGTCAATCAGATGAAAAATGCGTCTTATTGATGTTGTATTGCAGATAACTAAGGCGTTTTACATTAAAAAAAATATGCTAATTAGGTATGCTAGAATGTAGTTTATTTTATTATTGTGCATTTGTGCTACTAAATACCAACATATGTAAGCAAATGTGTCTAATAAATGACATCTTTGATACCTAAAATGGTTTCACTAATAACAACATATTTTGACAACTTTGTTTATGTAACAGCGCTCGAGAATTTTTGATATCTAGAATGGAGGCGATAAGAAGTCACCTTATTACGAAATCATCGCTAATTTCAAACGAACACACACTTTTAACCTGTCTTTGGACGCTGCCACTCCTCATCTATACGGACGTATAATAAAGATCCTTGTCACAATTTCCTACCGTTTGTCCATTTATGTCTGATACAGAAGTAAAAGAATTCGCATTTAGGATAGAAGGAATGGTATTTAATTAATCAGAATTTATTAGAAATGTAGATAATTTCCCATACGCAAAGCAGCCTATTACGGATATTGGGCGTTAATTACTAGATGATATACTTATGCAAAGTCGTTTTTAATAAGATACCGCACACTTGAAGAAGGAAATGAAATCTTGAATGGATGTAATTTGCATATAGGCTTAATGACTGTATAACTATAAATGTTACTATCAACCGAAGACGAAGGAAACGTAGAACAGGAAAAATGTGCACTCTCCTGTACTGTCCAAGTTGAAATGATTTTAAAAAAATGCCTTCATTACGGACATTTTGTTTGGAAAGTATGTCTTTTTTTACGGCCCATATAAAAAAGTAAAAAAATTTGATGCCGCTGCAGTGCAGGGCTACAACATTTTTTTTCTTTTCGTTTCCGACTTTCTGTATGCCTCATATTCAAAATTTGAACAAAACCTACGTACAGAAATGCAAAATTTGCTTAAAATCATCTAAAATGACGAATTTGATGAAATTTTAACATGTCCAAAAAACGGTAATCGTAATACCCACCAAGCTCGAGCTAGGAAGCTAAAAAGTTTCATGGTAATGTTTCTCATTCATGTGCCACTTAAAATTGCGACAACCCTACTGTTTCGTGCAAAAGAGAAGGACGCAGCGTAACAGCTGGTCGTGGCGTACGCATCGATGTAAGAGAGTGCGCGTGCGCTCTCTCTCTCTCTATGTGATAAAAGCAGAGAGATATATTAATTTCATTAATTTTCATTGAGGACATCTTTGATTTAATTTTTTTAGCACCCCCAAAATTGGGAGAAAAAGAGTTAGATTTTTCTTGCAATAATTAAAGTAATTTTACTTTATGCTATCCTGGATTTATCTATTTACACTTATCTGGAAAAAATCAGGTCTTGAATAAGAGGGGAGATTTCAAAGCATTTTATGATCTCTCCCCAAACATACATAAATTATGCATACAACATTATAGATGTGGGGTGATTGGTTAATTAATAAGTAATCCTTAATCGCTTAAAAATAAAACAACTTCATACAAAAGAACAAAACGGTACATTATTCAAACAAGGCACTGCTTCCATTAATGTATGAAACAAATAAGTGCAGGGAAGTAATGTTAATAAATTATCGCCTTTCTATGTTCATTTTCGAGTATAAGCAATGGAAAAAATGCGCATCAATCAATATTTTGGTCTTTGTCTACTTGCACATCAGTTCCAGAAAGGAAAGAAAAGGGACTATCACTATAATTATGACAATGGGAGATTTCCCTGTTTAACATAGGAAAACACTGACCCTATCACTCTATCTTAATAAGCAAAATAATTCTAATTTTTCTTCAACACTCCATAATTTGATTACGATTATGTTATAGTGTGTTCATTTTACATTTAGATTCGTTAGCACGTGAATATAAAAAATCGTACCTACCGATTAGGAACTAGAAATTTGAATGCCTAATTTAGTAGGTGCCATAAAAAGTAGTAATTAACTGATGCTTAAAAATGTATACATTTGAATTTATGATAAGCAGTTTTCATAAAGCATCCCGTATCAATTTATCAAAAGGTATAATCGAGCATTAGGACTTATGCTTGTAAAATAGCTTATTTATTTACTTTCCTCGCAGTATTTTCTGCAAATGTCAAATTTTAATAAAAATTGTAATTTATACGGTACTACTTTGTTTTCTTTAATATACCTGAATTCCGTATCGTAATTTATTCGAGATTTCGAAAATGTTAAGCAAATTTATGGAAGAGGAATCTTCTGGACGCATCTGATCTGTAATAGGATTGATCCTTTAACGACCGATGATAGGTGACAATTCATCCGGCAATTCTGCACGTGTATCCGGAAGTGAAAACAGGCGGAGATTTTATCGTCCTTTAACCAATGATCGGAAGCAAGTGGTTGTATGAACGCCCCCGCTGACGGCGGCGCGAATATACAAACTCAGTTCTAGCTTGGATTCTGTGGAAGTAAGTGCAGTGTTATTATTGTGAAATCGCGGCATGAAGCGTCGCGGCGCGGGACGTCTTGCTGCCGTCGCTTTATGGACGCTCCTACTACACCTCACCCACGCCGACTGGTGGTGAGTAAACAATTACACGTGAAATCCTTATTGTTGAGAGTTGCGATTCTGGTCTCAGGTAACAAAATTGTCGGGATTCGCCTTTCTTTGAAATGCAGCAGCTACCTACAGATTATCCCCGAAAACATACCTTTCCGTAATTATTTTAATTAAGAAGCGTTTCGCTCCGATGTTAATTTGAAAATTGTTTAAATACCTTGATGTTCTGCTTTGTACCTAAACAGGTTACCTACTTAATTATCCCGAAAACGTATCAGATTTTGAACCTACGCATTTTAGATGTGCGATGCATCCTCCATCGGCCTTATTATTAATAGAATTTCAAATTTTGAATTAGAGATCCTTGATCGTGTAAAGATAACGGTTTCACTTTTACAAGGCTCACAAATCACATATCACTAATAGACAAGTGGAAAAAATAGGAAATGTATGCAAAAGATGGACATTTAAATATTTAGTAAACTGTTTTCTTCTGCAGGTTTATGAATTATTAAATTCTGGAGACTATGGAAACTAATGTATTTAGATATACGATTGAAAGTAAACCGAGATGGTCAATCACGGTTGTAATTGAAGCGCGATAGTTCAGTAGTGCGACTATAAATCATTGAAAGAAAACCGAGTCAATTCCTTTCCCAGTGTGCGATTTACTCCCAATAAATAAAACCTGGACCATTTCGTCTAGAAATCTATTACTCTCAGTACTTCCAAAACAGTTGGATATTTCGGAGATTTCTAAATCTGCCCTTTGTGTTTTGCTCGTATAAGGCACAGATAATAAAATAAAAATTTTAATTAGTAGACCTTTCTATGATGACTGGTCCATCTATATGCGCGTGTTTTTACAAAAATCAGCAATATAATATTAGATATGGAATTAATCGAGCCACATTCCTTTGATGTGGAATGTATTTTATTGGAAATTGTTCACTGCAAAACAAGGTTTTTACTACATTTTTATTGTTGGAATATAAATTTTTACCCGCATCGCAAAAAATGTGGTTTTTTTGCAAGTCAAAATATTTAAATGAAAAAAGTACGTCGCGCGGAATTAAACACATAAGGTCCTACACAAAATGGGTAAGGCTTTTATCATTTTCGTATTTTCAATCATTATCAGACACATGCACTTTCAAAAATATGTTACGCACTTCACAAATCACAATAGGCCGTATATATAAAAATAGAGTATTTCCTTCTTAAAATATGGTAAAGGTAAAAGTAAAAAGTGGAGCGCACAAGCAGAAGGTTGAAAGAAAAGGTTTTGCTATATTTCGTACTCATAATCTTTTCTTTTTCCTGGCAAGTAAATCCTCTCAATAAAAGGGAAAAGATAGGAAGGCGCGGGATACGTTGCGCCACCGAATAAGTTACAAGTTGTAATCCAGATTTCACGATTTTACGATTTTTCTCACGATCTTACGATAAATGTAATGAATCTCACGATATTTAAAAAAAACTCAACTACCCCTTGCGGAAATATCAGCTCAACCTCAGCACAATAATTTTCATCTTTAATGACTTTTTCTATTTTCAAATATGAATTGATTTGTGGGTGGGAATTGCAGTAATTATAGGAATACAACGGCAAACAAGTTGTAAATCAGCATATGCATGATTAAAGCGCATTTTTGGTAATACAGGTCAGTATTTTATTAGCGAAGTTTAAAAATTATCGATCTCACGAGTAATTTTGGCTGCGTTAGTTGAGGGTATATCTTTATTTTGTAAAACAAATCACAAAGTAAATAATTAAGTTTTTATACTGGTAGCGCATCTAACGGTAAAATTATAGCACCTCCGAAAACCATATCTAAATTATTTTCTTAAATTATCGATCTCACAAGTAATCTAACTCAAAATAGACTAGAGCCTGCACATCTACACTACATTAGAAAGGTTTTAGTGAAAATTTGAAGTCTCTAGCTATTGTAGTTGCTGAGATCTCACCCGGACAGCCGGCCAGCCAGTCATAACGAATATAATAGCGTATTTTTTTTTCAAAAATGCGCTAAAAATGAACAGTGGTACATTGCATATCTTTCTAGTAAACAGTCTAGTTAGAATAAGAACCTAATATGAATTTCGTAGAGTCAATTTTTAATAAAAGAACAAATGTTTTTTTAATTGTTTAATAAATTATAGCTTTTGAATAAACAAAGATAATGGTTATTTATATGCAAGGCGATAAAGGGATGTCTTATCCATGGAGTGAAAGATGTTTTACAAGATGGTTTAAGTTTCTCTTTATCGTCGTGTATAACAAGACAACTTTATTTTATAGCAGAAGCCATAGAAATCACTATAAAACTTCTGAAAATTCTGTAGGTATTTAATTTAGACGTCCAAAATAGCAAGCTTAAGTTCTCCCGTCGTGTCCATGGAAATAACATAAATTTAGTTTTGAACTTCATTTTATTTTGTGCTCGGCGTCTTATTTTTTTTAAGAATGACATCATTGGAATGCACAATGTTTGTTTCTCTTTATCTACCCTTACTGTTAAAGAGATACTTAGCCTACTCATTTAAATCTAACATTTCAATTTAACATCTGCTATAAAATAAAAACTTTTATGCAACGTTGTTTTCTATTGCATCTCACCAGCCGTCAAATCTTTTAGAAAACACTAAACGCACAGATATACGCGTATATCTGTAGTAAACGTTAAACCGAGACGTAAACCTTCTGAATGCAGTAAAATCGCAGAACGCCTCCCTAACGTGGAATGGGTACACTTTTCGTGCTCGTCAGTCCACCATACCGTCATGGGGAGTATCTCGAAAACTGAACACCTTTGCTCTACAATTGCATGTATACCAATAAAGTAAACCAACAAAAGCGTCTGCGGACTAGATGCACATTTTCTGACGTAATTCCTTCAGTTTTAAAGCAAATGCAGTTTTGTATGAATTTTAAAAAAGTTAAACCTTTTTCTTTGGAGCAACCCCTTTTGCTTCTAGCACATACCTTTTTCTCCTTTTTCTTTTTGAATAAAATGTGAACTAAAAGCTTTGATTTTTGCAAGTAAAAGGTAATCCTTTTTCTTATAAATACGGCCTATTATGTTAAAGTATCAGAAAAACTTGAATCAATGATGCAATTTCTCGATCTTTTACGCAAATTACAAATTTACACGCTTATCGTAGGCGGCTACGAAATGTCCTTTCTTCTTAACTGTCGGCACCTGATAATAGATCCTGGAGATTGTACAATCTTTAAGTACATCAACGGTACGTAGGAGTATCTAATACCTTCCTACTGTACCCATGGCCTAATAAGAGTATATTAGGCCATGATTGTACCTATAATATGAATGACTTTCTAGACCTCTTGCGGCATTTTAAATTATGCAAAGAAGTCAAAATTATAAGAAACAGGTAAGTAGATAGTAGGTAGTTTCCAGAACAAAGTATCTTACATTCCAAAGCCATTCCCTTAAAACAGATGGCGTGTTTAATTGGAGAAAAATGGAGTTAAATAATGGGGATATCGAGGGGGATACTGTATGCACTAATTTAATAATTAAGTATAACAAAACATTTCATTGAAAGGAGGTGCTCCAGAAAAGCAAATTTCGCTTACTGAGAGGGTTTTCTCTTTGTAAAGTAATTTTTTGAATAAAAAATGTCTGTTGTACTTGTACGTATTCATGCTCATTATCTAGGTATTTCACTTATTCATATTTGATTTATTTTTATTTTGAGTTTAATCCAAGGCCGCTCTGCGAACCCAACCCTCTATAACGCTTGCCGGAACCCGAATTCGAAAAGGAAGGCCTTAGTGCCGTAATCGCGCAGCTGCTCCACTACACAATACGACCCGATATACCTAATGCATATAGTTAAACTACTCCATAGTAGTCATAAAAAAATATAGACCATAGCAGCTATCAATTAGCGAAAACCCGAAGACTGTAGGTGGCCCAGAGGCCGAGATCTCGTAGGAACAGACAGACAGACGACGGAAAATCGAGCACATAAGCGTTACTTCAAGTTCGGCTAAAAATATATGAAATCTATCGGTTTGCAACACGAAGGTTGCATTATTGATGTAAAAAGTACTAATCATTACTAATCACGGTCAGAGAAAATAAACAATTTTTTTACGCGATCGGTTAATGCTGACTACTTATACTTACCATGGGTGTTTCCATGACAGTAGTTGGAATTTACCATACCACTTCGACCATTTCGATTTATTTCGCTCATTAATGTTTCATATAATATTTATATTGCTTGCATAATTTTAATTCCGATCGCGCAGAAAATGTTATAAGCACGTCGAACGTAAGGGTTACCGTTCTCATACAATAATTGCAAACAATTGTCTTCGAACGGTAAAAACCCCTTACCATTATCCATACTTAATGTACTATCGTGTCTCCTTTTCTGCAAGCTTGGTTTTCCGTAGCCAAATGCATCACTTTCCGGCCTAGGTCGACAAAACTATCACTAAAAATTGTTTCTAGTCTAGTAGGTACTAGTCAAATTGTAGCCAAATTCATCAAATATCCAATTGCAAAGCCTTTGTAACTTTGTATACTCACACAAAAATATATTCTATTTAAGAATTCGACGAGCACCCATACATTAGCTCAACCCAAAAAGAAAGTCTAAAAACCTTCGCGGTGCCTGCCCACCTACGTAACGGTTCGTTTACACGGAGTCAAATTTTGTGTATATAGCAGGAAACGTTGGAACTAAAAAGCTTTGACACAGTTTTGCCTCTTGCAACACCAAATTTTGCAGTAAAAGCGCATGGTAAAACGCAATTGGTCCATTAACACTTTTCCAAAGACTGCTAGTAGCAAAAAAAACACGATGATGAGCGCGCGGAATTTTTCAAATATGAACTTGCTCCGTATCCACTTTCACTGTTTAAAGGTACAGGCGAAATCCGGAAGACAAAAAGTCGCCTGTTTATGATAAATGTTTCGTCCCATTGATCACCAGTTTGCTGAGCCCCATTGAAATTTATATTATTGATTGTGGATTTTTAT